AATTTGACATTAAACATAATTCAAGTTGAAGTGTTACATCATTTTCAGCCCACTTTTTGGCATCTGCATTTGGTAGCAGACCAAACTGACAAAGACCATGCAGAATAATGTAGTATTTTAATTTCACAGCAGAGAAAGCTATGTAGTCTCTGTAAGTAAGTCTAGAAAAAAATATATTGGTATTGGTATCGGTTATCGGCCAAATAAGTTTTAACATGTTGGCAATGGCATATCGGATATCGGCCAAAAATCCAATATCATGCATCCCTATTTTCTTCACTTTTTTTCAAGTGAATCTATGAAAAATGCCACCGATAGCACAGTTTGTTGCATGAAGTTGAATATTAGCACGAACAAAGTGATTCCGAAAGAGCTGTTTGTTGGAAATTTGGAACTGAAAGATGATGCATATCTCAGGTTATTTGCTGTATTTGTTCTTGCATATTAAAGACAAGACTTTCAGAAGTGCATTTAAGAGGTTATGATCTGAAATGCACAAACAGGAGCCAATGAATGAGAACTTAAATACTAACTTTTAATAATGAAAACAGAGCAACATAAATAAATAAATAAATTTAAAAAACAGCAAAAAGAGAAGGAACACAAAACAAATTAAACAAAACAAAAACCTCTGAAGAATCTGATGACAAAGTGAGCAAACAGGGAGCATGCTTACTACAGGTGTGCTGATTATTAACGGAACACAGGTGAGATGTTAGGAGCGGTATAAGGAAATTATTTCCACATGAATTCATTCAACATGTCACCACCAACAAATTCTCCAACCCCAAATAACAAAACAGGTATCATGTGTCTCCACGTTGATATTATCTGGATCATGTATCCACACAGCAACAAAGAGCTGGTGATATCATCAGCAGGACGACAAATGAGGGGCTTTAATAATTAAAAATGAGTGTGACCGTTCAGTTTGCTGCGGATATGGATACATGTCAGGGAATTAATGAACAGGAGGGGTTTCTATTTGTTTCCTCAGGGCATTCAGAACCGAGTGTATCAGAGTTCAGCCTTGTTGTTGTCTTTCAGCCATTATTCCAAAGCAACTCTAAACCTCATTTTATATATTCCAGCACACAAAACATCAACTGCACAAGAGCATTTTAATGAGTGCTGACAGAAGTTTAAACATAAATATCTTTACCTTCATGAAGGAAACTAAATATATATAAACATCAGGCATCTACAAGCAATCTGTAAAATCTTTTACATTAATTTACTTTTAATAAAAGCATACACTTCAAGATATACTCTTTGTTTTCTCAGTTAAAATCATATTTGTTAGTGTGACTGTTTTTTCCAGTATGATTGTAAATGTATAACTACTTCAAACAGAATATGTAGTACTTTTACAAAAATTATTTGTTTTTTTATTTATTTGATTGATAGAAGAAAACGATAATTGTCATTTACAATATTTAACGTCACTTATCAAACAACTGCTCCTTACAGTCCTTCAAATGTGTGGATTTGCTGCTTTCTACATCTAATTCAAACAGTAAAAAAACATCTGTAGGTACAGGTACAGGTTTGAAAACAAATAACTAAACCCAAAGAAACAAAACTTTACCTGAGAGTTAACTTGAGTAAAGTTAAGTTTATCCTAAATTCATAAATGGTAACAATCCATCTTCTTGTCTCTTTAAGATTATTCTATGACTGACCAGAAAAAAAAAAACTGCAAACATATATTTTTTACGTACATACCACATCAAAACACCGCTGATCTTTTTCACCTCCACAGGCAGATGTGATCCCAATAAATCCAAATCTTCTTTTTTGTTTTTTCCCACTTTAAAGTTTGTTTTAACATAAAAATATGAAAAAAGTCTAGTTAAAAAAAACTCCACACCTGATATGGAAAAGTTGATAGATGTGTTAACAGAGCAGAGAGGAGGGGAGAGGGATGAAAAGGTGGATGAAGGAGGTGGGAGTTGCAACAGAAGGAGAGGGTTTTTTTTTTTTAAACCTTAGAAATAAGTCTGGATAAACACCACCAAGTGGGCTCCAGAGTTCATGTAAAACATTTTTTTTCCTTACTGTTTTTCAGTTTATACTAATAGTTCATTTGCATTAAACCCCTTTGATGGTAAATTAATTTCTTAACCTTGAAGGGCTGTATTACCTATTCACAATTATTCACCACTCTTCACTTCATACAAGCAGCACTTTTTATGACATGCATGTTCACAAAAATCACACTGAGAGCATTATTTGGTTGAGTTTTTATGTACTTTACCACACAAATGGAAATGGGGATTATTTCCATTCATCAGTTGGTGGATGTCTGTGCTACTTCTTCTTTTGGCTTTTCCCTCTTCAGGGGTCGCCACAACGAGTCATCATCCTCCATCTCACTCTGTCCTCTGCATCCTCTGTCCTCACTCCATCTACCTCCATGTCCTCTCTAACTGCATTCATTTATCTTCTCTTTGGTCTTCCTCTTGTCTTTTTCCTGGTAGCTGCATTTCTAACATCCTTCTACCAATATACCCACTGTCCCTCATCTGGACATGTCCAAACAATCTCAGTGTGGTCTCTCTAACTTTATCTCCCAGTTGTTCAATCTGTGCTGTACCTCTGATAATCTCATTCCTAATCTTATCCATCCTTGTCACTCATAAGGAGAACTTCAACATCTTCATTTCTGCCACTTCCAGTCCTTTCTCCTGTCTTTTTGTCAGTATCACTGTCTCCAGACCATACAACATAGCTGGTCTCACAACTGTCTTGTAAACTTTTCCTTTGACATTTGCTGACACCCTTTTGTCACAAATTACCCCTGAAACTTTTCTCCATCAACTCCAACCCTGTACTCTCTTCTTCACCTCTTTACCACACTCCCCATTTTCCTGGACAATTGACCCAAAGTACTTGAAGTCCTGCACCTTTGTGACCTCTGCTCCTTGTAGCCTCATTGTTCCACCGGCCTCCCTCTCCTTCACACACATTTACTCAGTTTCACTATGACTGGCTTTCATTCCTCTTCTTTCAAGTGCATACCTCCACGAGTTCTCTTCCACCTGTTCCCTGTTCCCACCACAGATCACAATGTCATCCGCAAACATCCTCGTCCGCGGGGATTCCTGCCTGACCTCATCTGTTAGTCGGTCCATCACCAGAGCAAGAAGTGGCTCCGAGCTGATCTTTGATACAACCCCACTTCCACCTTGAAGCTATCTGTCACTCCTACAGCACATCTCACCACTGTCCTGCTGTCCTCATACATGTCCTGTACCAGTCTAACATACTTCTCTGCCACTCCAGATTTCCTCATGCAATACCACACCTCCTTCCTCGGCATCCTATCATATGCTTTTTTACTTTTTCTAAATCCACAAAGACACAACGGAGTTCTTTCTGACACTCTCTGTACTTCTCCATGAGCATTCTCAAAGCAAAAATGGCATCTGTGGTGCTCTTTCTCGGCATGAAACTATACTGCTGCTCACAGTCATCTTTCATCGAAGTCTAGCTTCCACAACTCTCTGCCAGATCTTCATTGTGTGGCTCATCAACTTAATTTCCATGTAGTTGCTACAACTCTGTACATCACCGTTGTTCTTAAAAATGGGCACCAGCACACTTCTTCTCCATTCCTCAGGCATTTTCTCACCCTTAAATATGCCATTGAATAGTTGAGTCAAAAACCTCACTGCCATCTCTCCAAGACATTTCCAGACCTCTACTGGTATGTCATCAGGTCCAACTGTCTTCCCCTTCTTCATTCTTTTCAGAGCTTTCCGAACTTCACCCTCACTAATCTTTCCCACTTCCTGGTCCACAGTTTCTATGACCTCTACTCTTTGTTCTCTTTCATTCTTTTCATTCATTAGTTCCTCAAAGTACTCCTTCCATCTTCATGTCACACTCTCCCCACTTGTTAGAATGTTACCATTCCTATCTTTAACAAGCCTAACCTGCTGCACATCCTTTCCAGCTTGATCCCTTTGTCTTGCCAATCCGTACAAGTCCTTCTCACCCTCTTTAGTGTCCAGCCTCCCATACAACTCATCATACACCTTCTGCTTTGCCTTAGCTACCTCCCTTTTTTTCTCTATGTACCATCTCATTATATTCTTGTCTCCTTTCTTCAGTCCTCTCACTGTCATATTTCTTCTTGGCTAACCTCTTTCTTTGAACGGCATCCTGCACTTCACTATTCCACCAGGTTTCCTTATCATCCGGTTTCTGTCCAGATGACACTCCAAGTACCTTCCTTCTTATCTCTCTAATTACTGTTATTGTAGTAGCCCAGTCATCTGGAAGCTCTTTCTTACCACCC